ATGATATTAAATGATTATTCAAATTTTATCTTGAATATTCTGTGTAAAAAACTAATAATACTCTAATCCTTAAATATTCGTGAATTATGTATAACCAAATATTCACTTTTATTATAGATCCAGCTCTAGGTCTGATACGTATATATGTACATACATATATGGGAATCTTGTATACTCACATTTATGGTAACGTTATTTAAAAAATTTATAATAATCAAAATTAATAAAAAAATTTTTAAACAAAATGATATTTTTGCTCAAAAGTTTATTTAAAAAAAGCTTAATTTTGATACATAAAAGTTACATTCATATGTAAATATACATATATAGTTATATTGTATAAGGACTTATATTGTGAGTCAAAAAAAAATATTCGCATTTATAAATTTAATACACTTTATAACAATAATGATAAAATGATTAGTCTACAATCTAGAAGGATGAGTCTGGAAAGAAATACTGTATAAACTTTATGCTAAAATGTTCTATTATGAAATAATTGTAAAGTATATATATGGGGTATCAAAAGTAGAAACCAGGAAATTTGGCTGATCACAGGTTTTGAGAAAATCAGCAAAAACTATTTGTTGCACAAAATCAAAACAATCTAAAAATAGTTTATTCAATATTAACAAACCTGTTTAAACAGAATTATTAGATCTGTAAATCACTATCGAACTAACATTTGCAACATAAATCTATTTTTAGATTATGGCATCAAAAACTTTTAACTATTGTATCGCAAAAATTTATTAAGTTATCAGACTTTTATTATTAAGTAAAAAAGATTGGGCTTTAAATTTTATATCTAATCAATCATACAGGTTAATTTTTAAAAAATTGTCAAATTCCTTGGTTTCTACTTTTGATGCTCCATATAATTAAAACATGTACTATTCAAGAATTTTTTACGAGAAAATCGAACTAACCAAAATTTGAATTTTTGTCCGGATAATTCAAAAGGTATTTGAATAATTATCTGAATATCAATAATAAACGAATATCAGAATAAATTCATATCCGGATATCTGATAGTTATTCTTAGCAGATTGGAACTCTAATGGCTAGTGTTAGGATAAGAAGTTAGTATTTTAAAATTATTCTAACAACTATTTAAAATTAAAATTTAGTAGTTTGGTTATGGAAGCTTGTAATATATACAGTATCAAAATTTTATAAAGAACTTTTTATTTTGCCAATATGCCCATCACTAATACGTATATTAATCTTTTTAATAATGTTTTACAGCTGTTTTATAAATTCTGAAGCATTCTAAAAAATTTACCGAAGTCTATTTGGCCAAATTCGATAAGCTATTGATTTTGGTGCTATACATTATGATTTTTCAAAACATATTTATTGGAAAGTAGTTAAAAAAACTTAGAAGGCTTTAGTTAGAGTAATTGCTAAATATTTGGGTATTAACAAGTCTTATGTGGGTTGAGTTCTCAAACAATTTTAAAGGTTTGCTGTGTTGATAAATTACCATTATTTTAAATAAACATTATATACTTTGAACTTTATTATAATTATTAAGACATCGTAAGCAAATATTAATAAATTCTTGACCTCTGATTTCAATTTGTGTTGCATTTTTTTATAGCCTCTGATCATATTTAACCTTCTATTTTTTTTTTTTAGTGCCTACTCGGAGTGTTATGTGTTATGTATTAAAAAAGGCAAATTTTTAATTTTTTTTTTTTTTATGATTTTGTAGATATAGCATATTTCAATAAACAAATTTGCTATACAATAAGTTACTAAAGATAATTATATAATAAAAAGATTCATCAAAATGAACTTGAAGTAAAAATTTTGTTCTTATTTATAGTTTATTTAATTTATATGTTTATTAATAAAGTCCAACTTATGTTCAAAATTTTTTTAGTAAAGATCTAATAATTGGTAAGAACAGTTTTTTTTTGGCATAAATTTTTGTATCGTACATATTGGATAAGGCAAAAAAAATTTTAATAAAGTGTTGAAAGAGTTGACATTGCTGTAATAGTAATTTAATAATTTTTTTATATATTGATTACGCACTAATCATACCAAAATCAATAGCTTAAAGAATTCGGCCAAATAAACTTTGACAAATTTTTTTAGAGTGTCCCAGAATTTATGAAAACAGCTGTACCATTTTAGGCAGCCAAAATTATTTTAGATAGTCAGAATTTTAGGCAGCCAATATTATTTATGGTAAAATATTTTTGGCAATTTTTATTTATGGCAAGCCAAAAATAATTTAGACACACATGTATACCTGTTCTGGTAAGTCAAAAAGTTCTAGAAAAAATAAATCTGATTTATTTTATTTATATGATTTTCTTGATCTCTTAAATAAAGTAGACTTGTTAGTATATGTAAAGATAGTAGCTGAGCCATTATAACTGTAGCAATGTAAAAACTATATAAAGTGATGTCTTTTTATGTGAATAAAGAAGAACTTGGTCGAGTTTAAAACTTTGAAACCCTAATGGTAGAAATTGTTCCCTAAAAACACTATACCTTGATGCCAAATTTGTTCTCAATAAATCACTTATTTCCCTATCCCAAAATTATTGTTAATACCAAAAGTCTTGATTGATTAAAAGAAAGAGAGAATTGAAATCACATTACTTCTGTAAATTAAGTTGATCATCCCTGTGACCTCATTATTATTGGTGTTACTATCTGAATTTGAGAGAGCATCAGATAGGATAGTGCCAAAATAGATCAGGGTGGTAAACGAATAGATAATGCAGCAGGTTGGGGAGTAAATATATAAAATAGAATAAATTAAAAAAACAATACAAAATTAGATTAAACTTCTAACTAAACTGCTTAGAGCATATAGTCATGAATTATAACAAGACAATACATTTATTATATATCAATAGAGAAGTCTACCTAAGACAAAAACCTGTCTCTACAAGAAGGTGAATATATTGGGTTTATATACATGTAAACTAACAATAATTTCCTTCGATACATTACAAATAACTCTTATCTATTACATTACTTCATATTACCATTCTTTATTTACAACTAACACCAATTAAACTTCCAATGCACCAAGGTCCGAATTAAGAGTTACACTTAAACCATTAATCTTGGAGCTCAAACTCCAAGCTTGATTGTTAGTATGATAGTGTTCATATGTTGGACCAATTTGCCTGCATGCATTACAGACTGACCTAGTTCGGAGATTGGATATAAGATAACAGGAAATAGCTATATATGGGAATATTGGAGGGAGAGTATAAAGAAACAAATAAGAAAGGTGAATGACAAGAATAGAAATAAGGTGGGACAATATAAGAACAATTGGAAGGGATATATTCTTGTTATTTAATGAGTATCGGTGAATACAGGGTATTTCATAGATTAATAGTAAAATCACGTAGCCTTCGGCCACGTGGATTACTATTAATCTATGAAATATCCTGTATTCACCGATACTCATTAAATAACAAGATTATTTCATGGGTACAACATACAACCCGTGAAATTACGTAATTAAGATTAAACTTTCGGTTAGTATTTTATACTTTTTCTATATTAAGAATTTTGACTACTTATTTTAGTAATCAAATCGATCTTTTTTTTCTTATCAATCTTTTTTTTAAAAAAATGAGAACAAGAAATAGAAATATTGCACCAACTGAAGCTGAAGTTCTTGAATTGCAAAAGCTTTTACGTGTCGAGAATTCAGACAAGTGTATCTCTAAGTGGCTACGCTCTGTTGACAGGTTCTGCGAAACCTTAAATTATAAAAGAAGAATTGAGAAAATAAAGTCACTTGCAGAATTAGATAACTTTTTGTGCAAGTTTTTTATCTGGCTAAAATGGCTAGATGGAAAAGATTACAAAGCAGAAAGCATTCATAATTTCTATGCTTCTGTAGCCCGTTATTTAAAAGAACACAGCGAAATTAAACTGTGTAAGTTATGGGATTTGTACCATTTTAATAAGGCGTTGAGAACGCTTGATGGTAAAATGAAGAAATTGCAAAATGAAGGTTTGGGAGAAATGGATCAAGCCTTACCATTAATTGCTGAAAAAATTTCTAATATTCTCAACTGCGAATCAATGGAAGTTGGAACTAATGAAGGGTTGATTTGACAAGTGTTTTTTGGTTGTCGCTTCTCTGTGGTCTCCGTAGTGGTGACGCCGAAAGAATTAAATTCAAAGATATTTCTCGTCGAGATGATGGTGGGCTTTATCTTACATTTAATCATGAGAAAAACAATCAACGTGGGGCTTTAAAACGAAACAAATATGGAAAAAGCTCTGCAAGAAAAATACCCATTCCTCCAGATCAAGTGAATAATTGCTTTAAACCAATTGAGGATATTTTGTATTTGATTTCTTTTTGTCCTGTTGATGCTTGTGATTCATTTTTCTTGGAAACAACACAAGCGGCAAAGGGTTTAAAGCACCATTTTTTTTGACTTCGATCTTGTAGTACTATTTTTACTGACTTTTTTTTTTTTTTTTACAGATATTAATAAGGGGGTTTGGTTTAAGAAATCTCGGATGGGAATAAATAAGTTGAATACAATGATGCCAAAAATTGCAGAACTTACTGGTATCAACCCTGACAATGGTCGTAAGGTCTACAACCATTCGCTACGTCATACCGCGATTCAACGGCTTAAGGACTTGGATGTTCCTGAAGATGAACGTATGATGTTCTCTGGCCATCATAGTAGAGAAGGAATCAGGGCCTATAATAGTCCAAACGATGACCAGAGGCTTAGGAATATGTCATTATTAATCCCTCTGGATTTTGACGATATTCCTTATGAAGAGTTTACTTACTTTCCCGGGGATGCAAAAAACTATCTGGATTTTGAAGAGGAAGATTACGATGAAGGTGATTACATTTTATAAATTAGAATTTACGTTATTATACATTATTAAAGTTTAATTAATGGCTTGCTTTTTTAGCACCTCCACAAAAAAAAAATTCACAACCATCGCATGAATCATCGCCACGACTTTTGCATGAATCATCGATGGAAATATTGTATGAATCATCACCGGAAACATCATATGAATCATCACCGGGAACATCATATAAATCATCACCAGGAACATCGCATGAATCATCGCCGGGAACATCTAATAAATCATCGCCGGGAACATCAAATGAAGCATCGCCGGGAACATCAAATAAATCATCGCCGAGAACATCATCGGTACCATCGAAAAGGCCGCCAATACGATCAAAGCATAATTCAAAAAAAGTTTATGCACCATTTAAGGCGCCTTATAAAGAACCACAAGA